CGGAATTTTAAGCGTGGTTATTCATCAAATCAACAATCTCGAACGACAGAACCTTAAGGGTGCCTCTGGCGACGCTCGTGAAGGTCAAGCAGGTCAGGATACCGATGAGCCCTCGGAGCAGGGAAGCAATCTTCCTAGTGGATATTGCGAGATTATCGTCAATGATGATATGGTTTATAAGACGTGAGTTGGTTTTTATGGAGGTTATATAATTGGGTGCTGACATTAGGGTTTAGGCGCGTTAAACAGTATACCAGCATGCCCTTCTTCGAGGTACGTTTCTGTATCTATATCTGAAGGCATGAATGCTAATATGGACCTGTGATTATTGTAGGCTGGGACCGAGGTCTTTATTCGCAATTGGCAAGAGACTGTTGTTCGTGTCGTTGTTCGTGATTCGAGGTTGCGCGAGAAAGACCCCATCCTGGGTATTGTGAACCTTCCTCTTGCCGAAGTCCTCAAGGAAGGCTCTGAGGTCACGCGTCTTTTCTCAATTCAAGAAGGTGTTGGATTCGGGTGAGTTGATTGACACACTCATGCATCATCTCGGAAACTAATTGTCCGATAATCCAGGCGTGCCAATATTTCTGTCCTATTCAAGGCTGTCGATGCCAAACTCCCACCGCACATGCTCGGCTGGGACACTGGAACTGTCGAGATCCTGAAGCCCATCGAAGTCAGCATCGAGCCGGAACACCAAAGCTCTTTCTCGCTCTCCAAGCAATCCCTCGTCGTTACTACCACTGACAGTACCGAAAAGATTGGGTCTCCCGTTGGCGACTCGGATAATGCACGAATCATTTGGAATGTGGATACCGTTCGACTCCCAGTATATAGCCGATACACCTCATCCTTGACTTTCGAGATTGGCAGTAAAGGTGGCGTTGGTCCCATGAAAGGCAAACCATCCGCTTTGGCAATCATTTGGCTCCAGGACTACTTGGATGACGAAGAGATTGATATCAAGGTTCCGGTAATTGTCTCGAAGGACTTGAAGACGCTTAGGCAGAATTATATCAATGAGCATACGGCAAAGGGCCATGAATACAATATCGTCGGATGGCTTACTACTAGGATTAGAATTGATACGGGTCTGGATCCTGTGAGTTGATTAATTTTATATCTGTGCTGAACACTTTCTAACTTTCGCATAGGACCACGAGAAGTATGCCAAGTCTCAAGCTAGACGACACACCTATGAGGCCTAGTAAGCTTCTACGTTTCTGTACCTTGTCCATTATTTAACTGGATACCAGTGATCATATCGAAGGTCAAGCGCTCATCGCTGAACGCAACGCTCATGCATACGATGACGGCGTCATCGACAAGAAGGAGAAGAAGGCTCTTGAGGCTGCGCATAAGAAGCAACTCCAGAATCGTCATCGTGGCATCGCACAATTCCGCCCATACAGAACTGCAATCTGGATGAAGGAGGGTATCAAGAAGAGAGTGATACCCAAAAAGAGTAACGAAAAACGTGAACGTGCGTGCAACCTTTTATGCATCTACTCATCAACCACTAATGCCCGTATTTCACCAGCCACCGTCAAGTCCGAAGCATAATCGAATGGCCGAGCGTTTAAAGGCCCTATAGTCTCTGCAAGTATCTGAAAAACTCGGCTCATAGGCAACCACTATATACTGCCAATGGACAGTGACTGGCTTGCTTTCTGTAACACCACCCCTACAAAATGTGCCGAATCCTATGTCAACACTCCTTATACTGTTATATCTCAATTTCTCCTTGACTGTATACATGATAGTATGTTTTTGAATTCCTACCATTTGCTGTATAGACTCGAGATCGAGTGCCGTGATCTTTTCAAATCCAACGTCCGACCGAGGGCGATCACGTGATCCACAACTTTTGACTTGAACCATTCTTATTTCGTGACCGAGTGGCAGGTCTGGTATATGCAGCTTGCCCAAACAAATATCCGTTCACTTTGCAGGCTCAATGTAAATCAACGAGCGTGCCTATTCTCCACGTCAATCACACGGCGAAGCAGCACTTTGCCAAAAACCATTCGACAACTCATAGAGGAAGGAAATAAATCAGTTCAAAATGAGAAGATATCGAACTTGGAAGCGATAAATTCAACAAAAGCACAGGATTCTGTCATCCACGGCTGGGTCAAATCCGTCAGAAAACAGAAACATGTCGCATTCGTCCAACTTTCCGATGGTACTGAACGAGGGTCGCGTGGTCTTCAACTAGTTTTTGAGAATCCTTCATTGGTTGACGGGTCAGTCGCGTTTTCCATCGTACAAACCTCCACTCACAAACTTTTTGTGCAAGGGTAGACTGACTATGGGCTCGAGTATCAAGGCTACCGGATCTCTTGTGAGAAGCCTCGGAAAAGGGCAAGAATTTGAGTTCAATGCTCGAGATATCGAGATAGTGGGAGCGTGTGATCCAGAGGTGAGGAAAATACTGTTGCAGTTGTCAATTCAATGGCGTTCTAACGCGTCCAATAGATTTACCCTATTCAAAAGAAGAGTCATACAATAGAGTACCTTCGAGAACATGCGAACTTTCGTCCTCGTACGGAGGAAATAGCACGGATGCTCAAACTACGACATGCTGCTAAACGTGCCTTTGAAGATTATTTTGATGTAAATCTTTTATTGAATGTTTTTACAATGAATCTCTCTCACTGACTGCTCTGACTGCAACAGAAACATAATTTTACTTATATCAATACCCCGTTGATCACAACAAACGATTGTGAAGGTGCAGGAGAAGTGTTCCAAGTAATCCCAGATACGAGCGCAGAGCCTCCAACGACCCCAAGTCCTGATACGAGTTCCGAATCATCTCCTCATTTTTTTGCCGACCCCGCCTACCTGACAGTCTCGTCTCAACTCCACCTAGAAGTGTTTGCATCAGCCTTCTCTCGCGTCTATACACTTCAACCGGCATTCAGGGCTGAGAGATCGCATACTAGTCGCCACCTCTCCGAGTTTTGGATGCTGGAGGCTGAAATGGCATTCATGAATGGACTGGAGAACGTGATGGACGTTGTTGAGGCATCTATCAAGAATGTTTGTGATGATGGCCGAGTTCGAGCTTGCGCAGCGTCGGAAGAACAGCTGTTATACCTCGACAGTTTGAGGGCGTCCAAATGGAAACGGATTACATACACTGAAGTGGTTAGCAGTCTCCGTAGCGCGCTCGGAGATAACACCATCCAATGGGGAGAGTCTATCTCGACGGAACAGGAGAGATGGATTGCGGACGAAATTGGAGAAGGACTTCCCGTGTTTGTGACGGACTACCCGAAGGACTTGAAGCCGTTCTACATGAAGCCGAATCCCCTGACAGAGATGTCACAAACAGTCTCTTGCTTCGACCTCTTGGTTCCAAGAGTTGGTGAATTGGCAGGTGGTTCTATGAGAGAGGAAA